GGTTTTCTGGATTTGATTAGTCTGTTCGCCTAGATTTTTGCGAGCTGACTCTTCCTTGACAAATTCTTTCAGATGACCTCTTCTAATTAGGTCCTCAATGGTGTCTTTCAGAGCCTGACACTCGTTAGTGTTGTGCCCAATATCTTGGTGGTACCTATAGTAATTCTAGTGATCTCTTCTACCCAGTGCCTCCCTCAATTTTTTTTTGGCACAAGTAACCCTCTAGCCTCAGGAGAGACCTTACAGATGTGAGCTACGTCTTGTGTGAGGGGAGTATACTCTACGTACCACAAAAAGGTTGTCTTTCCTCACGAGATTCTGTTTTCTACTTTTTCTGGAACCTATTTCGATCCTTATCACTATGATCCTTGCCCCTTCTTTAGTTGGTTGGGCGATCTTGTCTCCTATCATAGGCCCTTTTGGGTGAGTTTCTTACTAAGGCAACCAGTGAGCTTTCTACTCGTTGATATTTGGTAGCCATTTGATAGAACTTGACTAAACTCACATGATCTTTGCTTTGAAGCTCTTTCCATAGCTCTGTCTACGGCTTTATTGTTGCTATAAGCAAAGTCTGGATTGATTCCTCAGGTTCATCCACGACCTTTGCTTATTCGTTCTGGAACCTTGTCAAGTACGCGGTCAGAGTTTCGTCCCTTTCCTGATGAATATTACTCAAGTAGTTGAGCGGCATTGTGAACTATCTCTTTGCTTGGAATTGTTGTAAGTACAATGAGGAGAACTGTTGTCAAGACTGTATTGAGTTCGCTTTGAGCCTCTTATACTACCTCTTAGCATCCCCTACTAGAATGACCACGAAACAACAACACTTTGCCAAGTCAGAGACCTAATATAGCTCCATCAGGTCGTTGAGAGAGTCAAGGTGGTCTTTAGGATCTCCTTTCCTATCGAACTTGCTCTCTGGCGCCTTGAATCCCTAGGGAAGCAGGGCTGGACATACTTCCTCGGTGAATGGAGAACTTATTATTTCTTTTGCCGAATTATTTTAGCGGGCTTTGAGATCGTCGAGCATCTTCTGGATTCGATCTAAGTCTTCTCCATGAGGAGTATTCTGGTTACGAGCTCTATTTAGCCTTACCTCGAGTAGGTTAGTTCGAAGATTAGTTGCTTGTAAGCCTGCTCTGTCGTGCGCATTAGTGCACAAAGTGAAGTCATGATGGCTGGAATAGTAGGTGCTATCATGCTCTTCGGTACGTTGTTCATACATTGGTTAAAACCAGAACATCAGTTGTTGCTTGATTGGCGTGCATGGCTAGTTTCGTGAGTCTGCGAGGGTTAAAATCGGCACATTGGGGTTGGGTATATCATCAAGTAGGCCGAGCATCCCTTGGGAGACCATTTCCTTTATTCTTTCCCATGGGTTGCTTGCTCGATCGCCTTCTAGTGTTAGTTTGCCCACGAGACTCACACTCTTGAGCGGTAGGCACTTTGCAATGTCGGGGGTTTTAGTTGTTCCTCGATGCCAACAAACCTGATTGGTCATCGGCAGAGTCATTCCCTCCCAGGGGAGTAACTTCTGTGAAGCGTGGCTGGTCGAGGTTCTAGTTGGCTGGCTACTCGTTTTTTATCTCAGCCACATTTTGTTGCACCGCCTGTGCAACCATCGCCCTTATCATCTCCATCAGCTAGCCATTCTTGGGATTATACATCCCTGCCCAGTTGATTTGCAACCTGATATGCGAATGGTATTGGTGGTTGGCGTGCAGCAGCATCTTGATGCACCTCTTGGTCGGTGGCCTTCACACGGTCGTGGTTTCCGGTGGTGGTTTTGGATATGGTACGAACCATTGTAAACTTCGGGTGATCCATTAAGATTGTTTGCTGGAAATTTTGAAAGCAGGCAGGGGCCCTCCTTCTATCACCAAAATGTTGATGCAAGAATTATACTAACTAGAGTGATCCGATTGACCTTGGTGGAATCGGAACATATGTGCACGTGATTAAGGATAATCAGTAATGTAATATGAAAGAAATTAGAATAAAACAAAGAACACAATCAGTTTTTAAAGTGGTTCAGCAAGTTGTAATCTTGAGCCTACTTCCATTGTATTTCTTATTACTCAGAGAGCTTACAAGAAATAATAATAATAATACCTAAAACTATTTACTAACTCCTCTTCCATCATTGGAGGGGGTTCATATACAAGTTTCTTGCAAAGGAAAGAACATAATTAAAGGAATTACAATTAATATGAAAGTGCAACTCGACATTCTCGCGATGGGCACTAAGATCGCACTATTATTGCTGTTGATTTGATCTCTTTCGAGATATCCAAGATCTAAGCTTATCTATAATATGTCGAACAACTGTCAAGATTAGTCGCGATGAGCTAATGCTAGGTCGAGTTATATCTCGACAAGTTGATGCTAGGTTGACTAGTGTTGAGCCGAGCTGATTTTGGGTCGAATTATAACTTTCAAAACTCTGATTTTTCTGAGCTTAATGTAAAAATCATACACAACACCTATTCACCTCCTCTAGGAATATTTGCCATGGTTTTACATATTTTAATCAAATAATTAAAGTGCGAAAATGTAAAATGATGGAACAATAGGATATGTGGTTTATACTTCATAGAGACATGTGCATGCATCCACAACTGTAAAAATAAATGGTAGCTCTACTTTTTTTAAGCTTGCAAAAGAAATAATAATAATAAATTCCATTACATTAATCACATTTGTTTGACTTTTCTTGATTTCCATTACCAACTTTTAAATTTCTTCTCGCTATCTCTCTCCCCATCACCGTTTTGTTTAAAACAAAATCAAATCTTCATCTCTCTTAGAAATAGAACAGAGAGCTATAAACCCATCCCTCCACGAAACCAGAAGACTCTCATTCCCAATTTCTCATTTACACAAAGAACGTTTAAGACACACACACACACATACATTCACATACACACCTTTTCTTTATCTTTCTCCTTCTCTTTTACTTTCCTTATCTTCAAACCCTTTCTTATTCAAAACCTTTTCAAATTCTTTACCATTTGATCCTTCTCACCGTTCTCTTCGAACCCTCAAATATTTTCTTATTCAATTGAATCATAAAATTTCAAAATGGTTCACATATTCTTCTAAATTTCGATTTAGTTTCGGTTCTCGATTTCAGTTCCAATTCCTACAGGGGTGGAACCGGAACTAAAATTACACAATGCCAATTCCGGCCTTTTATAATCGGAACCGACTATCACAGGATCGGTTCTGGATAAAAATTGGATCCGAAACCCCGATTACTCGTCAATTCTTTTGCACACCGCTATTTTGTAGCAATTAACCTTTTTTGAAAAATATCACAAAATTATCTTTTTTAGCGAAGCAATTTTATAAGGAAAATTATTTCCTGGGAAGTCGTGAAATTCTTATATATTGTAAATAAAATAAAATTCGTGCGAACTCTCTGTCCATGGTCAGCATCATTACTCATTAGTTGACTAATCATTCATAAATAATTTTATTTATTTAAAAAAATACAGATGTCGATAAGAAAGAAAATATACGTATATAAATTTGCTAATAATCAAACTTTATAAAATATTGAATTATTAATAAAGCTGATGAATTGGAACTCACATACATAATCTTGAGATTCCTTTAGATGTTAGACGTCTCTCGATAAATGGTAATTGTCTCAATCAATATATATTATGAAAAAGATAAATAAATATATTTTTTGGGAAATTTTTCAACTCTTCTTTCATAATATCTTGTTAGAATTTTCACAGATAAGGTGAATTGATTGATGAAAAATGTTTGCATGTAAGTTTTCTAAGTCATGATAACACATGACTTTATGGAAGCATATAATAATATGATACCTATCAAAACCTCAAACTAGCGGTAAGTTAAAACGCGTTTAACTATTTTTAGGTAGTCGAGTGGTTCGTAAGAACTTTTAAGTGTATTATTTAAGAGGTCTTGAATTCGAATATCTCATCGGTTACTAATAAAGATTAAAAAAATATATATATGTTTAACCAAAACTCTTTCAAATCTCATTTCTTTCGAGAGAGAGTATATTAATGAATTAAAATTTTAATCTACTCTTTTATATAATTCAATGCATCTACATGCAACAAAGTCTCTTTCAAGATTGATTTATACTCTTTTGCTAGAGTAATTAAGAGAGTGATATCAACAAATTAAGCTTTAATCAAATAGCTATTTCTTTTATGAAGTTGTCTCGATTAAAAGTTATTAAAGACAATTTTAATTAAAACCTCATCCTTTTGAACCTTCTCTTTGTGTGATTTTTGTATATTCTTTCCCCAAGTAATTAAGACAGCGATCAAATCAACAAAGCGCTATTCAAACACGCTTTTAAACACATGAAAAAAATTATTAAATTATATCATACTTAAAATTGATTAATACTTTTTATTTATTTATTTTTTAGGAAGATCCTTAACAGAATGAAATGATTTTTTAAGTATTTTGATGTAAAATGATGGGGACCGATGCTCTGGACCGACATCAGCATAAAAGTTTTCAATCAGAATATAATAAGATAGGTATGTCCACTTCACTTTAAAGATTTGGTGGATCAGAATTTCTCGTTAATAATCCATGATACGATTTGAAAGCTTGGTGGAACAGAATTTCCAGTTAAGAATTTAAGATGAAATTTGAGGTGGGTCTCACTCAATAGGGCTAACTCTTTATTCGTTGGTCAAACACTTAACTTAAATATCATGATAGAATTTGAGGTGAATCTGACTCTTTACTTAATAAAGCTTTGTTAAATGAGAAGATTATCCTCTCTTATAAATCAGTAGACTTGAACGTATCTAATCAGTGTCGAATTCCAACAATTCACCTAAACAAGAATTGAAAATTAATTTAACAAAAGGCAGATTCTAAAGCTAAATGTGGCACCACACTTGCGCAATATATAAATAGCTCCATACTGCGCTGAAATTCAGATATCAACCAACAAATATTTCGGTAGAATATTCTAAGTTATTTGCGTACGTTTTACTATGTCTAAGGAAGTTAGTAATTCCAATAGAGATCCTCTTTGTGTTGGGAGGGTAATTGGAGATGTTCTTGACGATTTTACTAGGTCAGTTACTCTTAATGTTAGCTATGGAAACAGGGTTGTCAACAATGGTGTTGACCTCAAGCCCTCTGTTGTTGCCAATCAACCTAGGGTTGACATTGGTGGAACTGATCTCAGGACCTTCTACTCTTTGGTATGCCTCAGACTCTTAATTTTCTTTTTCGCCTCCTTTCTGTTTTGCGGTTGTTTGCAAGTTTTTTTTTTTTTTTCTAAATCTACTTAACATATATATGAGACAATTTTTTTTTTTTTCTTTTAATATCTCTTAATGTATATACGAGATCCTGTTTTGCAGATGTTCACATTTTTTTTTTTTTTCAAAAATATCTACTTCTTAATGTATATACAATATCCTGTTTTAGTCAGTTGTCATCTTCTGAGAAACATATTAACGTTGATTCATGCATCTACGATTCTTTCTCACGAGAGTTGATTCATGCATGAAGAAAAAGTTTATTTAAATCCGATATTAGATTGGTACTTGATAATTTATGTATTATTAATCATAAATTAAAATATATAGGTCATGGTGGACCTGATGCACCCAGTCCTAGTAATCCAAATCTTAGAGAATACTTGCATTGGTAATTAGCTTCTCTCTCTCTCTCTCTCTCTCTCTCTCTCTCTCTCACACACACACATACTGAACTTTGGCTTTTTTTTTTTTTTTTTCATATTTTTACAAAAAAGATAATGATTAAATTAAAACCCACCATTGCAATAAAAAGATATTTATTACACTTTCTTCTTCTGAAAGTGAAAGAAAGAAATTAAATTATCGTATATTTGCGTGAATGAATGATCTTCTGTTTTGCACCGACTAAAAGTTCATTTCATATCCGGGCAAATTGAAGGAAGGACACAAAGAAATAAAAGCAACTTTCTGGCATAATTATATACCAAGGTCCTATATGTGTCACTAACTATATATAGCATACATTTGACATTTTTTTTTTTTTTTTTTTTGGGTTTACTCAATGAATATTTGAGCATTTCATAATATAGAACAAAGAACATATAACAAAAAAAAAAAAAAAAAAAAAAAAAAAAAAAAAAACCGTAAAACACCAAATTGCCCTTAATATCAAAGACAACATTACATTGGTCTAAATACACATAGTTGTGTTGTGTAATAATGTTACCGAGGAGGTAATTTAATTGGGTCGGTAGCATACCGCCATACCAAATCAGTAATTGTTATATATGTATTATAGTATAGTTAAGTTTTCGTACTTTTTCTTTAAATCTATTGATGAATTTTACAAGTATGTTGTTATTTTTAACGATGAACTTATGACACTATTACGTAAATATAACAACTAGTGGTAAACTTGTTTGTAACAACTACTGATTTTTAACTTGTTCAAATGTTAACTAGCATTAACTTTAGTTACAATTACCGATAATCGTAACATACAACGATAACTTTTGTAAAAAAAAAAAAAAAAAACACACGTAAATGTTTGTTTCAAAAATCCTCTTGTGCTTAATTTTCTCTTTGTGTAGAATAGGAGATAATACCATTGATTTTGTAACTAATACATCTTAATTCTTTGAACCAGGTTGGTGACTAATATTCCAGGAACTACTGGGGCTACCTTTGGTGAGTTAATTAATTACCTTATCTTTAATTCAATTTTAATTACTTCAAATGGGTAGATCTTTCTTTATCACAATCAACTTTTTTGCGAATGCAAAGAATGAATGAGTCCTAATCAAAACGACATTTTGATTTGGGCTTATTCTGATTGGTTCAGGCCATTTCCAGATTTCAGATATAGTGGCACAATTAATTTCAAGTTATGGACCTCCATTAACTTGTTAATCAACCCTTAAAAGAACTTTATCTTCTCTCTTTTCAAGTTCAATTTTTTAAAATGAACCAAAATAAATAAATAAATTGTTGATAAAATTATAAACCATATGATATGGTTTAAAATATATTAATAATTTCCTTTAAAATATACTTTAGATTTATTTCATTAATCTTTTATTTCTACTTTTATTTTTTAATCATATATAAATTTATACGGAATTTTACCTTTTTCTGATCAAAATTCGTTCCCAAACCTATAAGAGATCTTAAACGACCTAATTTTGAGGTATATATTACTCAGATCTACAGAATAATTAAAAAAAAAAATTGGAATCAGAATTTTTTTTTTTTTTTTTTGCTTCTTTATTCCATAAACTTTACACTTACACGCTTTTGAATGCAATTTCCTGAATAAATATTTTTCATATTTCATCTTCCTCGTTCATTAAACATTATAAATATTTGACCCTCCCTCTGATCATGATCCAATGGTTTACATGAAGAATAACTTTATATATCCCCGATAAGGATTATGTAAAGAAATTATTAACGATTAATAAAACATTACGTTGCAATTGTAGGTCAAGAGATTGTGGATTATGAGAGCCCAAAACCAACGGTGGGGATTCACAGGGTTATATTTGTGTTGTTCAAGCAACTGGAAAGGCAAACTGTGTATGTACCAGGGTGGCGCCAGAACTTCATCACCAGAGACTTTGCTGAGCTTTACAATCTTGGATCTCCTGTGGCTGCTGTTTACTTCAATTGCCAGAAGGAAACTGGCTGTGGAGGAAGAAGATGATTATATTTATGTATGTTTATGCATGCATAATAATAATAATAAGCTATGGATTAGTAGAAATTAACTTTAAGATATGTTGACTTAGCTAGATGTATTAGTCACCAAGTACTTAATAAACAGGTGGAGTATGATTTAGATATAATGAATAAATTTTCTATGTGGGTTAATATAATCATTCTCTTTATGAATAAATTTATCTTCCCCACCCCCCCTTTTTTTTTTAACTTAACTAATCAATCAATAAAACTGTATTAAAAACTTTGAAACCAAACCACCGTAGGATAGTCGGATGAGGCGATAGAGACTTTTGGGTATATTATTCAAGAAGTTTTGAGTTCGATCCCCCTCAGTTACTAATAGGAGTGATCACTAGAGGGTTTACTCGGTCGTTAACTTTAAAGCCTCGGGAGATGGGTTAAGATACGCGCAAACTAATCTAGACACCCTTTGTTTAAAAAAAAAAAAAAAAAAAAAAAAAAATTCAAAACTTTCCCATCAGATATAGAATTTTTGCATAGAATTTTTAAGTGTGGATACTCTTAAATTTATAAGCTATAAACCAAAGATTTATAATTAGTCATTAACTTCGAATTTATATTTTGTTAAGCTAGAGATTAATTGCCTTTGTTTCACACGTTAAAAATTTCTTCACATCACATATAAAAATTTATATATATGCAGATGTCCGTAATATTTTGAAATTCAAACTTTTACTTACTAGTGTATATAAACGATAATAAAACTGATCTTTTGAGTAAAATTGAGTCGAAGTACCAGCATTGCTGTTTAGTTCTCGTATATATTTATACTTGAGCTTTAACTAATTATTGTATATATTTAGATTAGCAAAGGTTCATAATTATACGTATATAGGGATGAAATCTTTTAACTTAAAACTAGATTCAACATCTTAAGTGATACCATAAGACATTCAATCCTCAAATTTTACTTTTAACAACAAATTGATAAAATATTTTACATAATAAAAGAGAGTGAGTGAACATGAATATACTAAGAGATGACCGAAGTGACAAAAAATAATTGACGGGTGAAGATAATTTTACAATTGTTTCTCATAAAATCTAATCTTAATCAGTGGCGGATCCAGGAATTTCACTCGATGGGGGCAAAAAATAAACAAAAAAAATTTGTGGGGGCAAAAGGTCAAAGTCTTATAGGGGGTAAAATGCAAGTAAATATAAATATTTATACAATCTGAAGTTTTTTAAAGTTTGAGTGGGGGCCGTGGTCCCCACTCGTCATTAAGTAAATCCGCCACTGATCTTAATTAACATCATAAGAAACTCATTGCTCAGATTTTACTTTTAACTAGAAATTGATTTAATATTTTAGACAATAAAAGAGAATGAGTGAAGATGAATATATAGATGAATGAAGTGACAAAAATTAATCAACAGATGGAGGCAATTAGTGGGGAAGAGATTCCGATTATACTTTGATTCAGATTGATAGAGACGAATNCTGTAACTTGCAAAAATGTTTGCAGACACAGAGTGAGTTCTCTTGATTGATTGAAATTTAAGCACTAAAAAACTGGGCAATCATTCATATATTTTGTGCGTGTGTGAGAGAGAGAGAAAGAGAGAGGATGATGTTGTTTTTCTGCCTTGGCTGGTGGTAAGTGTTTTGCGCAGGGCCGGCTCAAGGGGTAGGCAGCTGAGACACCTGCCTAGGGCCCTAAAAAAATGGGGGCCAAAATTTTTATAAATTTTTTTAATATATTGTAAAAATAAAAATGGTATATAATTTCTTATCAGCTAAGGGGTCCCAAAATAAAAAGCCAAAAAAGTCAAAATTTATTATAAACTTTTGACATATATTCCCACCAAAGTTTGATGAAATAATAAGTTTGTACCTCTAATTTTATATATTCTAATTTACACCCTTAAATTAACACATTAAATTTCTTTTAATAATAAAAGGCTAAAATAGTCATTTATATGTCTCAAATTACTCACCCCCAATTCAATCCCAAAATTCAGCATTCACATAAATCATCTCCACCCTTCTTCCGCCGCTAGTGGCTTGGAGCTGATTCCGGTCAATTTTCTAACATATGCCCCTTCTCCATCGAAAGAAATAATATTATCGTGCGGATACAAGACAGAAAGCATTAACCAAATTTGCCTGATGTAGAGACAATCAAGAAAGCCGCATAAGTAAATATATAACCAACGAAAATCGACCGAAATCATCACTTTATCATTTCCCAAGTGTTTTCCCAACCTTGATAGCCCTCGATTTAGCCTATTTTTTATGAATCTCTCAACCCAACTCCACCGCACGACAGCCATTTCCAGCCTTTTTGGCATGTACCCGACGTTGTTGGCCTTCCCTGACACTACAATTTTCCTCCCCTCAGCCCTCTCACCAAAACCTCTATCATACCCCATCTGTTTATTCTACCAATCGTCGGCCACCGATATCTTTTGGGTCGTGACTTCTCAAACCTTTTCCGGTCAATCCTGGCATTGGAAATCACCCATTTCACCACCCATCACATCTCCAACATCTACTCTCCAAAAACCCCCTATCAACCTAACCCTGTTAGTGTGCCAGTCGCCGTCTACTTCTCTTAGTGATTTTGCATCTCAAAAGACAAAAAAAAAAATATAATAATAATATTTTTGAAATATTTTTTTTAATGTATACTTATATTATTAGAAGGCCCCAAAGTAACTCTTGTCTAGGGTCACAAATGTTTTAGAGACGGCTCTGGTTTTGAGTAAAGATAAGCTAGTGAGGGGTGTTTTCTGAGATGTCAGCTGTCCACATACAGTTAGGTATTATCTAATACAATATTCACCACCTTCTTACCAGTAAAGATGAGAAGGATTGACAATAAACTTTTGAATAATGTCTGATATGCAACATATTCAATTTGCTCTTTTCAAGCTTTTCTCAAATTCTTTGGCATAAGGATTTTTTATTGGCACTTCTTTTACCTAAGAAAGTTTAGGTGTGTAGTGTGATGAGAATTTCTGCTGTGAACANTTTTTTTTTTTTTTGGTATTCGGAGGTGTTCGTTTCAGTTTGTGTATACCTCAACTAGTCTCCCGAAGTTCTGAAGTTAACGATTAGATAAGACTCTAGTGACCACCCCTTATTAGTAGTAATCAGGATTTGAACTCGTGATTTCTTGAGTAATATACCTAAGAGTATCTAATATCAAACTAGTTGGTTAAAATCATTTCCCTAAAAGATTTCATCCCAACTAATTAAATTATTTTTGAGATTTCATGTGCTCAATTAAATGTATACCTTAGAAGCCCATCGAGTAAAACATGAGCTATCTTTAGTATCTTATAAACTATTGAAATAGACAACCACCCAAATAAGAAAACAAAAAAAAGGAAACTTTCTGTTTAACTTTTTTTTATTGGTATCACCGCCTTAACAGGCAGATTCTAACCGTTGCTTTAATTGGATGCCAGCAGTCGCTTTTGATTAACTTACTATCAGAGGCGGCCCAAGGGGTGGAATACTGGAACGCCCTTCCCAAAATTCTAAAATTTTACATAAGAAAATTGCAATTTCATTTTGGTCCCCTTATTTCTAAAACTTTCATTTTATCCCCCTTAAATGTAATTTCCTAATCAATTGTTTAACTTTGTTCTCCCTCGTTCATCAATCATTACACTTAAATCTCTCCAAACTGAGGGCGTAAACAAACCGAGCTGATTTGAGTATCTGGTTGCTCGAGCTCAGCTTGGCTACTACAATGTCTTGACACCAAAAATGACAGCTCGAGCTCAATATCAAAGCTCGAGTAGGTGTGGAGCTCGAGCTAGCCTATGATTTCTTCACTTCCTTCTAGTTGGATCCAAATGTAGGCATTGACATCACCAATAATTTTGGTTGAGGGCACAGAAGTGAACCCATAAAAAACCCATCCAAATAGCAATTTCTCCTCCAACATTTTCCTAAGCATGCCAACACGTTGAAATCATTCCTAATCATTATAAAATATCCAAAGAAAACCACAAATTACAACTTAACATATGTATAAGACCCAGTTTTTTGCCAATAATTTTTCAAAAACCAAAAAAATAATCTAAAAAAGATCAAAAGAAGCCCAAAAGCAGAAGAAAACCACAATTTAATGTTAAATAAACTAACCAAAGAATACAAGAAGAGGAAAAAAAAAAAGTAAAAAATCTGAAAAAAAAAAAAAAAAGAAAAGAATATGAAAACCATTAATGAAATAAAGGAAACCCAAAATCTTACAGAAGCAAAGCAGATCCAAACTCAATGCAATAACATCCAAGATTTTCAATTGTCCACAGTTATGCCTAAAATGAGGGTTGACCCATGCTAACGTCATCGAGCACCAATCAGAGTTTAAGAAAGCTTTCTACGGTCTAGAGCTTGTCACGTCTCCCAAGGCAAAAGGAATATAGCTCTCAACAACCTAACTTACTCAAGAATTTGTCTATGAACAAATTTGGTTTGCACACCTGTCCAAGCCCCATTTAATTTAAGGATATTCTTTGAGTTCAAACGAATGGAAAGCATGAGAGATCCGCACGGCATCAGACCACTTGCAGAAGTGTATTCATTACCTTGAGCATAGTGGGTATAAATAGGCAGTCCCCCCTCACAAAAACGGGATCAGACACCCTTGAATTTAACAAAGGAAATAGCAAAGACATACTACTAGAAAGAGATTGGCTTGACATTTTCTAAGAACACTTAGAACACAAAGCACTTGTAATATCAGATCGTAGTTCATGACCTCTTGTAAACTTGTCTAATGACTAGGGACAAATTTATATAAACAAACACAGTGGATGTAGGATTCACTTTAAGCATCTGAGCCACTATAAAAATCTTACTGTCTCCTTTATATTTATGTCTTTGCATGCTAATGTGCAAACAATACCTTACTCATTGTTCGATTAAAAACAACTTTAATTCCTCCGCAAGTGCACGAGTCGCTATTGCATTAAAGTGCACAAGTAAGGGTCAATCCACAGAGA